CTGTACTCTATTAAGTTAGAGGTAGAATAATTATTAATAAACTTGATTTCACAGTTATTCTGGTAAGTACAAAAGTAAGTAAAGCTATCCCTGTACAAGGCCGTGAAGGCCCATAGGGTTGTGAGACGCTGAGGGCCCGACATTATCTAGACAATCGGATCAAAGATGGCGGTAAGGTTGTCAGCCTTATGCGCCGGCCGCACTTTACTCCCCAGGAAAATTATTTACTTAATTCCTGATACTCATTTCTGTTAGAGGCTGAGTCAACTCCAGGGCCATAGGGCGGCTGGAAGGATTAGGTCAATTGAAGAAATCCAATGACCTCATCGGGACTTGAACCTGCGACCTTCCGGCTTGTAACACAGCCCATCAACCAACTGGACTTCCATTAAATTTGCAAATTGTTTCCCCCACACCTGTTTTCATATTATCTGACATTTTCATCAAACTGACCACAACCGGTCCTAATTAGGTTGGATAATCAGGACCCTACTGTTACAAACCTATTCAATGATGGTGAAACCATTTTCTCTGTTAAGAAAAAGACAGCCTGTTGCCAGAATGTAAAGTAAAACATTTGCACAGGGGCTAAAACAGGGAAATCTTGATTTCAATTCACTTACAGATCAAGTAACATAAAAAAATATTGCAGCTAAAACTTACATAAATTAAATCGAGACTTCACTGCAGTTATTTCCCTTAACCCATTTGTACCCACATGAGTATATTTACACTACTGGAGACAGCTGTTTCTACAATGGCTAATTTAAATTATTATTTTTTTCCTATTACAAAACATTTTGCAACAAATCTTTTTATGTTTTACCTCTGACAATTCATTATCATTGTCTTCAAAAATAGCTTCTCTAAGCACAAGTAGTAGTGAGAGTTTATAAATTATAAGTTTTTAATGAAAACAAAAAAGTTTTTCTGCCTCCCACAGAAAGCAACATTTTATATTCATATACTTCAAACCACATTAACAGATTTGCCACTTCTGAAATAATTCTGTAATGTGATAAACACTTTCAAAAGATGGTGTATATTGCAGATAGCTTACAGACAGTGCAAGTGGGTTCACATGCATCTAGAATGAAACTTCAGAATACACAATTCTTTACATTTTACATAATTTCTTCTTATTGTATGATACCCAAAGGCAGGGCCATAACAGAGAAAAGAACTAAAGAAACAGTGGGAATAATAAGATCTTATGTGTATGATAGTCATGGTTTTGAGACTTCATTTAATGAAGCTACCTCCCTTCCATGCTTTCCTGATGAACGATGGACACTCAGAAGATAGCCCTTGCTGGACAAAACTCCACGGCATTTTACATGTACTTGAAACCTCAGTGCCCAGTGCAGTTCAACTGAATTCATACCATTATCAGCTTCTGATCCAAATAATTCATTCAGGGCTGCCCGCGGAAGAATTTCTATAAAAAGAATTAAGTTTGCAGCCTGTCATTATTACCAATAATCAATCCAGTCTGATTTTTAGCAGTGAAAAATAATGCCAAATTACTTCACCGCCATACAAATGGGTATGATACTTGTTCTTTACAAGACCAATAAAGACAAGTGGGAAGAATAGTCCAGTCAGTGCCTCATATAAAAATAGAACATAATTTCCCATGATTCTGAGGCATGTGAATTTCACTGATATGTTGCGCTTTTTTGGACTTTATCCATCCTCCTGGTTTTTAAGATAACAAATAAAAACATGACGTTTCGGAAACTGGATCTGGTCCAGTGATTGACGCTAGCTCTTTCTAACGGACCCAACTGAATAGGTGTTTTCCTTCACCTGAGGACGGAAACAGATCCAGTTTCTGAAACGTCGTGTTTTTATTTGTTATCTTAAAAACCAGGATGATGGATAAAGTCCAAAAACCCAATATATCAGTGTGTTATACACCATCGTCAGAATCCTATAGTAACTACATGTGAATTTCATTTTGTCACCTCCAATCACAATGAAAATAACTCACTCCATCAAATTTAATCATGTGTGATTAGTAATCACTGTAAGTAACCACTGATTACTTAATGCACATTTACACATTAAAAATTCTTTACTTCTACTATAATGTGAACATATATATATCCTGCATACTAAACAGTAAACTATTTAAACATTGCAATTAGCTATATTTAACTGCATGGCGATAAGTCTTATATAGATATACCATAAAATAAACATGTTGATGTAACATTACTACCTAGGAAGAAAAAACATATGAAAAATAAACATAGACAACTCACCTCTGTCCTCATCATAATTTCCTTGTAGTTTGAATTAAGGGAAGCAAGAACAGAAGAAGCAATTAGCTTCACCATAAAATGTCATTTGTTTAAATAAGTAGCAGTGCAATTGTAGTGTCCCAAAGAAAATTGTTTCAGTTATTAACTTTGAGGTTGAAGAAAGCAGTCTTTTGGGATTTGGCACCGTGTATATGTGGTGTTAACCGACGTTTCGGAGGAACGTATCGCCTCCATCTTCAGGGTAGAAGAAAAAATATAAGAAATAATCTACCCTGAAGATGGAGGCGATACGTTCCTCCGAAACGTCGGTTAACACCACATATACACGGTGCCAAATCCCAAAAGACTGCTTTCTTCATAGTCACCACCGTGAAAGCCTCAAATCTTACAACTTTGAGGTTCTTTAGAGCGTCACTTCAGATCCCAAAATATTTCCAAATAATACACAAAATGTACAAGATACAGACTAAGCAGTATGTAGCATAATTGCACTGAATTCAGAAACAGCAACAAATTACTTACCAAAAGGATCGCTGTGTGTTAGAAGCTGTACATCATGCTCTTTTGTGAACACCTGCAGAGCTGGTGGTACTACACAACAGCTTGCCAAGTTGATTTGAATAATACTTGGCTTTACCTAAAACAATAATGCATGTCCATATGATACACACAGCAAATAGAAAAAAATACTTTTAACCTTTAACATATGTCATCCACATCTGACTCTCCAACACCCTGTTTGAAGGTTAATCATGGAATTATATGTAAGATTTGAGGCTTTCACGGCGGTGACTATGAAGAAAGCAGTCTTCTGGGATTTGGCACCATGTATACATGGTGTTGACCGACGTTTCAGAGGAACGTATCGCCTCCATCTTCAGGGTAGAAGAAAAAATATAAGAAATCCGCAAGTGAAGAGACCGTGAGAACTGGCAAAAGCAGTCTGCTTCTCACGGTCTCTTCGCTTGTGGATTTCTTATATTTTTCCTTCTACCCTGAAGATGGAGGCGATACGTTCCTGCGAAATGTCAGTTAACACCACATATACACGGTGCCAAATCCCAGAAGACTGATTTCTTCATGGAATTATATGTATAAATTTTATCCATTTTAAATACCTGCTTCATTTAGATTCTGTTTGTAATAATGTGATGTTTTACTTACATACAGTTAAGTTACATATGTATCAGATGTATGCAGGAATGACTTTTTCTGTTTGAAATGCACCCAAGATGAGAAATTGGACAAAATATCAAGAATTGAGATGAGAACAAGGATTTCCTCCATATGAATAATTTTTTTCACTTTAATCATGATTTATAACAGTACACACTTTTCCACAATACAGTGTAGTGTACTACTTGTCCCTTTTGATATCAGAATGAAACCACATACATACACAGAGAAAACAGAGCAGAAAGAGGGTGAGAAATGATTATATTGATAAGCTGATTTTGGCTTTCATTGCTCACCATTATGATTCTGATGGATCAGGTCGTTTGGATGCTACCATGCAAAGGAAAGGCAATTATCTGAAAATTCTCTTAACTTCAGGTTACAAAATCTGTATATGAATTTATCTTCAGATATTTTTCTCTATTCAATTTAAAGAAATCTTGGACTACCTCATGCCTAATAAAGACACAGTACTGGTCATCACTTTGAACTATGACAATCTGGATACAGTGAAATGCTGTATTTGAAAAATCTTTTTTCTGGTTCCAGCCAACAGAAATGATCACCACGAATCTTCCTGGGGGATAAAGGGTGGCCGGTGCATAAAGCTTGCAACCTCACCGCCATCTGTGAGCAGAATATCTAGAAAAATGTGGGCCCCTGGCAACTCACAACTCTATAGGCCTCCATGGTCTGTTACAGGGATAGCTTTACCTTTTGAGCACAGCGTTAGTTACTACCTTCTGATGGCAGGGTGCAAATGATGCCTGTGGTTGCAGTATGTGTAATTCTTTCACATGTGAAAGTATACAGTGTCAAATTAACCATTTTATCTCCAGGGAATGGAACTAAAGGTTCATCGTCGTCGTCGTCGTCATCATCATCATCATCAGTAATCTGTCAGACGACAGGTCCACAGTCTCTTCCAAAACAATTCCTCCACTTATTGCGATATAGAGCTTTCTCCTTCAAATGACAGTATCCTCTTCTGCTCCCATGGTCATCCAGCATCTTCTTACATCTTCTTCCTCGTCTTCTTGTCACTTCTAGCCGCCCCTCTATCTTTCCTTCAATGACTTCTTTTAGAAGGCAGTTTCTGTGTAAAACATGACCAATCCAATTAGCCTTCCGTTTTCTTATTTCGTGTAAGATATTCCTCTACTCACTGACCCTAAGTAACACTTCTTCATTTCTCACATAATCGGTCCATCTAATCTTCTCCATCCATCTCCAACACCACATTTCAAAACTTTCCAGATATTTCTGATCTACTGCCCTAAGTGTCCATGTTTCAGCCCCATACAGAGCTATGCTCCAAATGTAGCATTTCACTAGTTTCTTCCTCAAATTTAAGTCCAATTTGCTGGTAAAAAGATTCTTCTT